GAGTCACTTAACCCCAATTGCCTAAATAATAATAATGATAATAATAATATAATAAAAGTAGTAGATAATCTTTAGCTTCCTACAGAACTATAGAATGTATATAACTACTTCAAATAATACATCAGGAAGGTGACATATTGTTATATATAAGCCAAAAATAGTTATTGTGTGTGATGGTATTTGGTGAAACTGGGTGAGTTTGAGTCCCAGATCTGCCCTTACCGTCAGTGTGACTTTGGGAAAGTCACTTAACCTCTTTGTCCCTCAATTTCCTCATCTACAAAATGTGGAGGCCAGACTAGATGGCTTCTAGCTATAGATCTATGATTCTGTGATCTGTGATTCCATGTATATACATACACATGGGGGTTATACTAAGGCAGTGGGCTGAGTCTCACAACAGGTTAACAAAAACCAGCAGAAATCTGAATACAGCGAATTCATCTCAGTTGTCCTTCAGCCCATTCCTTAGAAAGCAGGGAACAGCAGGACAGATAATGTGCTGGCCTCCTTAAAGCAGAGCCTAGAGCAATGAGAAACCAGAAGCCATTATCCCCTTCTGGGATTTTCCTTGGAGGAATAAATTTATATATAGTAAAATTATAGCATCCTATCCCAGGAAGGCCATGGGCTTCCCCCACCCCAAACCATCAAGCACACAGATAATATTCATTAAATGGTGAATAATAATGAGGTTGCACGTGGCAGTTTTATGTTACAAAATAGAACTGTGGCCATTTCAGAAAAGACATTGAAAGAGGTTTAGGCACATGGAATAAAATAATTCTCAATATTTCAAAAAAGGCTGTTGAAATTAAAATAAAATGAAGAATTTGGAAAACTGAAAGAAATAATCTGAATAATAGCAACAATAATAGTGAGAGATATTTTGTTTCAACTCTTTAAAAAAAGTAGGTCTTCATACTTCCTATTTAGGTCCTATAAATCCAGCACTTTTTAAGCTTCTGCTGAAGATTTATTTCCCTCCTGATCTATTACCTTTGTTTTTCTTCCTACATACACAGAAGGAATGGACTTTGCACACCTTGCTACATTAGAAAGTATAATCTATGTACCACAGTACCTGCTTATCTGTAGTGTTTTATTGATGTGAGAGATTACTTGAAGGCCACATAAAAAGGTTACCATTGATTTCCTTTCTTTTGGATTGCTCAAGGCTCTAGCTCTGGCTTAGCTTCCACAAAGAGTTGCTGAACACCTTTTTAGAAAGCCTTCCTGTTTCTCTCAGCTGGCCCATCTATTTTCATTCTACCTAAGTATGATTGGCCAGCTGATATTTTGTTAAGTTCTCTAAATAAGAAGTTTTCACAATTCTTGGCGTACTTCTCTTTAAGCCAACAAACAGGTTAACATACTGACAGAAAAAATAAAAGGACAGTTTTCTCAGATCTCCTTCATTTAAGACATATCCAACTTCTTTTTGCAGTACAAATTATACGGAAAGTAATAACTAATCATGACAGGCCACCCATGTTGCCCCAAGTACCTAGCTTTTCTTAATCTGCTCCAATTTGAGCATACAGCTCAGAGTTCATACATTTGAATGTATCTGGGTATTTTTCCAAAGTGTTTCTGATAGAATTTTTTTTCCATATGGCTCATAAACCTACAAATGGGAGATTCTTGATATCATGTGTTATTTTAGTTGATGGGATTTAGCCAAAGTAGTAAAGTTGACAATTCTGTAAAGCAGGGGTTCTTAATCTCATCTTTATGTGTTATAAACCTCTTTGGAAATCTGGTGAAACCTATGGAACCCTTCTCAGACTAATGTTATTAAAAACAAATAATAAAATACAAAGTTACAAAAGAAATAAATTATATTGAAATACAACTATCTGTCCATGTCTTTCTGTCTCTGTCTCTGTGCATCTGTCTGAACAGGTAGCTATGTGGCACAGTAGCTAGAGTGTTGTCCCTGAGTCAAGAAAACCTGAATTCAAATCTAATTTCAGATGCTTACTAACTGTGTGACCCTAGGAAAGTCATTTAACCTTCACTTACCCTCAGTTTCCTCATTTGTAAAATTGAGATAATAATAGCACCTCCCTCCCACTATGGCAAGTATCAAATGAGACAATATATAAATACTTACATATGTGTGTATATATTTCTATATTTATATTAATGGACCTCAGGTTAAAACTTCCTGAAAAGGGCACAGTGGTCACATGCAGGATGCAAACACCTTACAAACCCAGGATTACACAGGCTATAAAAGATGCTATAAAAGAGATGTATGATTGGGAAAAAAAAACCATGGAATTGGTCAATGAGTCAATCAATAAACATTTATTAAGTGGCTTTACTTAAGGATGAGTGAGTATTTACTATGTGCCAGGCAGTGGATATAAAGACAGTCCTTGCACACATGGTCGGGTAGCAACAGTGAAGCATGATGGATGGAATGTTCATTTGGTCTGTAGCTAATCATACAATATATAGAAAGCACAAAGAAGGTTCTCAGGATGTTGGGTGGATTCTGTGGAAACTTGTGAGTGAACATGGACTAGAGTCATATAGATCTAGATGGGTTGTAACCTGCTGCTGAGGAATCACATACTCATTGGATGTCCAAATACGCTGCCGGGATGAGATTACAGGTTAACAGAGATTTCAGAATGGTTTCTTTCTTATGCTTTCCAAAAGAACCCAAAAAACAAACAAACAAATAAAACCCATGCATCACATTGGATTTCAGGTAGTCACCAAGGAAAACAAAATCCTGTTTGTAATAACTTGACTTCTTAAGGGGCATTTCTAATTCACCTGATTTATACCTTGGGGAAATTAAGTTACAGCTCAAAGTGACCCAAAAGGTCATTCATATCACACCTGGAGGAATTCACGCTATTAATATAGTGTTTAATTTCAGTCAGATTCAACTCTCTTGCAATTGTTTCTCATGTTCTTTGTAAATGGCATATGTTAGCTCCTAGATACAACTCTAAGGGACCACTGCAATAGGCAAATATTCCTTACTCCAGCTAACTTAAGAGCATCTGGCTAAATGTACATCAGGAATTCAATTAACTTTATATTAAGAGGTCAATTAAATTGGCCTCTGTATGGATTGTTTTTAATTACTTTTCCTTGTAATCCTTCCCCCTCCCTCCCTTGTCTAAGCCCTAGTGAAACTTTGATATGATATTCACAGTGCCTATTTAGCCTATGTAACTTATATGCAGAACACATAGGAAATGCTGGGCCTGGTTATAATAAACTAATTAGACAATTAGTAGCTGCAAATTCTCTCAACCTAAGAAGTCAATCATCAGCCATGGATTATTTTTGGCCACAAGCTTTTAGGAATTTTCCCATCTAGCAATATTCTTTGGTCTTTGTTCCTTGAATTTTCCTGAGTCTAAGTGGCACTTCAGTTGCATTTTGTTTTCTGAGGCATGAGTGAGATTTCCCTGGCTTTTTTGTGGCTATACCTTAAGCCATTTTCTGTCAAAGAATAGACTTTCAATTACATTCCTAAAGGACTGGTGGGGATTTTAGTGGTAATGTGGTCTAACATGTAGCACTAGGTAGTATATATTTACTAGATTCAAGCTAGGGATATGAGATAAACATCTGGATAAAATATGAAAATGAATCAATAATTTACATATAGTGGCAAAATCAACCAATCAACATATATTTGTTGAGAAACTACTATGTTCAAGGTATCTGTATATTTAGAAATAGCCAGATAACTGATCACTTTTTAAGCCATCTAGCATTCAGTGTGAGGCTGTTAGGATACACTCACACACACACACACACACACACACACACACACACACACACACATGCACATACACACACATACATATACGTATATATTCGAGAAAGAGAGAGAGAGAGAGAGAGAGAGACAGACAGACAGACAGACAGAGACTCTTTCCAGGTCTGGACCTGTCAGACAAGAGGAAAAAAGCTTTAATTTATACCAAGAAATATTAAATTTAGGACATTAAGCAAATACCACATAAGATTGACTAGAAGAGCTGTGAGTCAGTGACTAAGTGAGATTTTAGAACTTCCTTCAGGAGATATATTTAAAGAAAAGATATAGATAGTTATCTTTCAGGATTGGTTGGTGCCCAATTTTGGTACCAAGACAATGATTTATCTGAGATGGCTTCTTAGAGTGTCCTCCAGCCCTATGATCATTTGAAAAAATTACACAAAATACAGTCTTGGCATATTTGCCATGTATAGATTAGGATAATAAAATTACATCTATTACTATATCATATAGGTGGTATAAATACTAGTACAAAGGCCTACAAATTGCCTCAACTATTATTATTAACTGAAATAGTAGTATCATTAATACTATTAATAATAATTCATTGTTGTGTTAAGTATCTGTGACTTTGCCAATGTGAAAATTATGTCTGCTGACAGCAGATTCGATCACAACCCATCTCTATTTTATAGCCTGAGAGTTAATTAAGTTTCCAGGAGGTTAAATGACCTGCCCATAGTCAAGTGCCATAGGCAGGGTTTGAAACCAAGTCTTAACTCCCAGTTTAGCATTATATTATCCCACATTGAGTCACTAATGCAGATAACAATGGTCTAAATCTCTCTTCTATCTATCTATCTATATATCTATCCATCTATCTATCTATATCCTAATCTGTTTTATTATTAATGTATGGACTTTTGGTGAGGAAACTCTTTACCAACACAAATAAACAACTCTTCTTACAAAGTTGTCTTGGCCACTGAGAGGTTAAGTAACTTGTCAAAGATGGAAGGACTAGAACCCAGATCTTTCTGGCCCTAAGACCAGCCCTTTATCCATCAAGGTAAGCTAACTCATCATTATCATCATCAAGACAAAGAGAATAAGATAATTCAATCTGCCTTATGAAGGAAAAGAAGAGGAATTACTATGACATTAACAACATTTCTATTGACTATAACCATGGTTCTTTACATAACAATGTGCAAATCATAAAAACACAATTCTTTATTCATACCTGCTCCACCACCTATGCTTAGAATGTTAATTTCTGATTTTGTGTCTCCAATCCTGGAAATAAAAGACATTTACATATTTTAAAATGGGTGCTAGGTGCTGTGGAAAATCTGATTAGAAAGTTTAGTTGTAGGTAACACAGCTCCTCCCTCCCCCACCCCAAAAAAATATGGAACAAAATCTCTACAACTGGGAATTAAAAAAATCAAGCAAAAAATCTTCATGTTTGTCTCCTTCAATAACTCAGTCCCCACAAACATTAATTAAGTGCCTCTGGGTAAAGCACTATACTAAGTAATGAGGATCTCACAACTAACCAATCCTTTTCCTCAAGAAAGATTGTGCATCTTTGTATACAGAGAAGAATTTAGAAAGGCAATAGGAGATAACAGGCAGAGTGAACCGAATGACCCCTAGAGTCTCTTCCAGAAATGCTATTCTATGATTTTCCCATCTGGTTTTTGGTAAGTCCCTTTGCCTCTCAATGTCAGTTTCTTCATCTATAAATTGATAGAAGAGGAACAGACGAATCTGTGTGGATATGGGAAAGCTGACCTAATCAGTGAGAAGGTTTCTATCCTTGATTCATAGGACTTAAGATCAAAAAACTTGGAATGACATCTCATGAATTTCCATTAAGTTGATATTTTTCAAATGAAGTAAGAACATTCAACAAAATCCTTCACAGGTGCCTTCCTTTACTCAAAATCTACTGCAAACTTCTCTCCCAAGGAGACTTCCAGTCCAAGTATCCCTTTGCTTTTTATCACTTAGCATTTTAGGGCAAACATGCATATTGCTTTTGAAAATTCTTAGGTTTTTTTGTTTTTGTTTGTTGTTTTATTTTGTTTTTAACCCGGAATCCTGTCATGTACACCCAATTAGAATGGACATCCAATAGTATGGTCACTGTTATCTTTTATTTCCTTTGTATGAATACAAATAGCCCCACTGCAAATTCTAGGTGATAAATAAACAAAGGAATGAATGAATGGACAAATAAATAAGTAAACAAACAAACAAGTAAATAAATAAGCATCTGGTATTTCCATGCTGTACATCATCAGGTTGTGAATAACAGTACCAGGCCTGTTCCATATCATGTTGTATTCTATACTTCCTACCTGTGTGACAATGGACAAATCACTTAACCTCTTTGGGCCTCAGTTTCCATGAAAGTTAAATGAATGTAAGTCTGTGCTCTCACTATATAACCTATATATAATATATTCTGTTATACTTCCATAAATATTTTGGGGGTTTATTTTATATTGGGGCACTCTTTTCTTGAATGAGTTAGACTAGATAGGAACTAAAGTTCCCTCCAACCGTCAAATTCTGTGATTCTATAATATGTCAAGGCTCTGTAATTTCTTTGATATGTAATACTGACTCCACCAACATAAATCACAGCTCCTGCACAACTTAACTGATGATCTTCAAGAGTCATAGGAGCCAAAAATTCATCGTCTTAGGCCTAATCTGTAGATGAGTTTAGTTAATTTTCACTAGGCTGATGCTTTGACATCAGACTTACAGCTTGTCACCTAGTGTCTAACTGAAGCCTTTCTACCATAGAAAGGCTTGCCAAAATGTGTGCTCTGCTGGCATAACCTTCCAGAACCCAGGCTCATTTACATACCCGGTAAAGAATTAGATTAGGACCTTAAAATTCTATCACAAGAAAATAAAATGCCATCTTTTACATTGAAGTCCTGGGACATAACTGTCCCTAGAAAAAGAAAACAAGAAAGATTTGGAAAAGGCAAAGGGGATCCTATTAAAATTCAAGCCAAGGACTCCCTCCTCTGCTATTGTCAGACAGGCCCAATGACAAAATTAAGAGAAGCCAGAGTGAAAACCAGGGGAGGAGAGAATTTAGGGATTTGATGCGTTTGTAGATAGGATCTAAGGCTCACCCATTTCAGTATCTTTTTCCCTTGCCCCAATGCAACACTTGCGTTAATTTATTGAAATCCACATCCCCAAGGCAGGATATTTGATTATCTTTAGAATGTGGGATCTAGTCCTCTCATAACGCTTATCAGCTCTGCCACAAATTGAACACATTCATCACCACAAAAAAAAAAATGAACCTCATGGATTATAGGGGAGCAAGTCTGTTTCACTGATAATGGGGAAACTCTCTTTTAAAGGGTCATACAGCTAATACCAGCCTGAAAAGATAGATGTTAATGATTTTTCTTTTGGTAAATGATAAGTGAAGTGATAAATCATAATAATACATAAGGAAAGATATTTAAATGGATATTACTAAGGTTAAGGGGCACCCAGTTCTTTTCAGTGGCAAGTGCTATTTAATGACTGTTTAAAATTCAGGCTAATCCAGAAAACATAAATGGAGGAAACCGTATCTGGAACCTAGGGATAATATGAATGATTTTTGCTCAGTAGGAACAGAACTGAACAGGTAGAAACAATACCAGGAGAGTTAAAAATGATGTTCAGTGGTAGGTCAAACTTTAGGCAAATAGGAAGGAAGGAAGGAAGGAAGGAAGGAAGGAAGGAAGGAAGGAAGGAAGGAAGGAAGGAAGGAAGGAAGGAAGGAAGGAAGGAAGAGAGTGAGGGAGGGAGGGAGGAAGCATGGGAGGAAAGGAGGAAGCAAGGGAGGGAGTAGGGAAGGACGAAATAGGGAGGGGGAAGGAGGGGGAGAGAAAAGAATGTAAATATGTGAGTTTAAAAGCTTTTTATCTTTTCACCCAAAAATGTACTCGGTGCCTGGAAATGGTTAACTCTTGTCTATTTGTGGCTTGAAAGGCTCCTATTGCAAACAGGGCAATTGGGTGGAATGTCTAAATGTAAGGTTGGACTGAAGCCTTTTGGTCAGGGGAGGGGCGGGGAGGGGTGGGGAGAGAATGAGAAGCAGAAGCAATCCGTATCTCTTGCATCTCTCCCTAGCCACCGCATGCCCAGCCTCGGTTCCTCCCGCAGCATGCATCGATCACTTTGCACGGATTGTGGTTTCCCAGGGGTCTGTCCTTCTGGGGAAAGCGTCTGTCTTTTGTTACCTTGCTATAATGCCTGGCAGCTTCTCCTCAATGAAATTCTGCATGCACTGGTGCTCCGTGGAATTAGCCAGAAACCGGCGAAAAGCTTCAACGTATCTGCCATGATCAGAAAACAAGCTCCTCATGGAAGATGCCATGTTTGGTTTTGTGAGAAAGGCAGAAGGGGAAGGGAAGTTTCTCTCTGTCCTCCACCCCGCTCCTCCTCCTGGCCACCACCCTCTTCCCATCCCCCAGTCCAGAATTTAGATAAGTGGGGAGCAGGTCACCAGTGGCTGCCACTGGAGCGGGACTCATTAGCATATAAAATGCTCCACTGGACGTGGTTCCAGAGACTTTAACCCCTGCTGAATTGTTATTTTAATGAAAGGGAGAAAAGTAGTAAAACCAGGCAGTAAGTCCCACTGCTGAAACTTTTGTTTCAAACCTCAAGGGGCTTTTTGCTAGACCTATAAAAACCAAGATTACTTTGGCTTCATTTCCTATTTCTCCTGTGGTTGTCCTAGTGAAGTCAGCTCCAAGTAGGAAAGCTAAATGTCTGAAAAAGCCAAAGAAACCTCAAAGTTAGGAAAGCATTAGCCATTATGGATACAGAATCATATACTAAAAGCAGAACGGATAGATTTGTTGTCTCTCTCCAAACTCTTGGGAGAAAATACTGTCTTTTCTAATTCTCTAGATGGAAAAAGGTTCAACAAGTGACATTTTAATGTTCATTTGACCTTTAGAAAAATTGATATGATATGAAAAATGTGGAACTTGGATCATATTTCTGCTAGTATCTTTCTTTTTTAAATAGAAGACTAGTCTTGGAAAGCTGACAGCAGGAGGAAGTGAAGTCATAACTAGGATTTTTTGCCGGGGAAGACAGACTTAGGGGAGCAGGGCACCAGGATGTGAAGAGGAGACAGTCAGTTCAGTAAACTAGGTGAGGGAGAGAGTACAATGATGAGATGGAGAAGGCAGATGCCTCATTTTGTGTGTATTGGGGTTGGCAGTAATATTGGCTTCAGGCCACTGCTGGAACCCAGATCAATAATGTTGGAGAGCAGGAGCTCACCCCAGCAAGGCAAAGGATTTCAAGTACTATGAGGGCCTTATAGATTTTACACCATGGGAAATAACCCCAGATGCTTCACTCTAGATATGCTTAGGTAAAATGATATAATGAACTGATGAAAGAAAGGAGACTGGCAAGGGAGGTTGGGGGAAATAAGTGTTGCTAGTAATTCCCAGCCCTAAAGAGATGTTCTGTATTCAGCCAGGCAAACTGCTGGCCTGCTTAAAACACACTTTGTTTAGTGCACTCATAATCTTTATTAATTCATTCAATCAACTAGCACTCATTACCTATGATGTAGCACATGCTGTACTGTCTGGCGATATAGAGGAAAAAAAATCCCTTACTTTAAGGAGCTTACAATCTACTGGGAGAAAACTACAGGTACACAGATAAATCAGTACAATGTACTTTATAAAAAGTAAATACAATTTCCCAGGAGAAGACACTACCCAACTGGGTGATAAGAAAAGGCCTAGCCTAGAAATGGTCTTAAGTCAAACCTTGAAGTTAAGAAAGGGATTTTAAGAGCCAGAAGAGGAAGGAGAGCTGAGAGTTTTTAGTATTTGGTATTTTAATGGCATTTTAGAATTATTAACCCAGGAAGAGACTTTGTTGACAGGGTCACCCTCTTACCAAATACACTAACCCCCATCTTGCTCTACTCCGAAAAAAATTTTAAACTTTCCAGGATTGAGCTTTTCTAGTGAACTCATAAGGAAGTACATTCCATATTTAAATAGCTCTAGTTGGTAGCAAGTTCTTCCTTATATGGTATCAAAATCTATTTCCCTATAACTTCCATGCACTTGTTCTATTTCTCCCTTTGAAGCTATATTGATTAAACATCACTGCTTTTTTCCTTCAAATATTTGAAACAATATCAGTTCTATCTTCTCCAAGGCAAATATGCTATAATTTTGGGGTTTTCCCCCCCTTTATTCCTCATGATGTTGTTTACAGATCTGTTGCTATCCTGGTTGGTGATAGTATCCTGTATATTTTCAAGTTTGCTGGTATCTAGAATTGGTATCACCAGGATACAGTATGATGATGGGATTATTACTGTTTTTGGTCTAAATGCTATGCTTCTGTTACTGTAAAATAAGATTTTCATTATTTTTTTTAAGTTGCTACATTCACATAGTACAAAGGACTATGAAAGGATAGATTTGGAGGTGGGAGATTGAGGTTATCTAATCCAACCTCCTCTTTTTACAGATAAATAATAAGCAAAGGCACATAAAAGTGAAGTGACTTGCTTAAGATCATGCAGGAAGTAACTGGTGTTGTACCGAAAAATCAGCAAGCGAGACCCAGACACAATTTGAAATGTGGATTTATCAGAGTGCAGCTGGGAGGGGTACACACCCAGATTGAGCTTGGGTTTATAAAGGCAGAAGCCACAGAGTAAACAGTCAGGGGTTGCATAGGCAGGAAGTTACAGAAGCCAAAGGAACGATTGGTTAATCCTGCCTTTGGGACCATATAAGGATCATGAAATAGATTGGGGTGGCTATCCTTCTTGTCGGGTTTTCTAAGGCAAGAACTTCTAAGGCAGGAACTCCTACTTCCATGAAGGAGGACATACAAGACTGAGGTCAGAAAACAAAATGGAGTTCAGTACATGGAGTTCAGTACTTCACTGGCAGAATCAGATTTAGGGCTTCAGTTGACTCATACATGTAGAATTTGCAGACAGCTAAAATCCTAGGGTCCCCCCCCCATTATTGGTTGTTAAGCTTGTATCTTTAATCTTCTTGTACAGTTGATTCTTTGCACCAAAGGACAGAATTTTCTACTTCTCACTACTAAATTTCACATCATTAGTTTATTCTTATTAATCCAGATCTTCTAGAATATTGCTCCTGTTAGCTAACATATCCAGAAATTAAGTATAAGTGCTTTATCAAAACTTCATATAGACAGTGAGACAGAATGGATATTCTTGGAGGAAGGAACACAGCTACTTTCCCTGACACATGTTAATTGTATGGCCTTGGGCAAGTCTCTTCTTTCTTATCCAGATGAGATTCTAAGATCACAAATTACAGATGAGTTACTGTTCTATGTTGATGGAGGGAATACCCTCATCATGAGTTCCTCATTCTAATGAAATTATAGGTCCACCCACCCCACTCAAAAGGAAAAAAAAAAGAAAGAAAGAAAAAGTCCTTACAGGATCATAGAATTTCAGAACTGAAGAAGGAACTACAGAGGCCATCTAATCCACCTCCTTGTTTGACTGAAGTAAAGTGACTGGTCCAACATCACACAAAAGGAATCAGCAGAATTAAGATTTGTACCCAGGTCATCTGTCTCCAAATTCATTCAAGTCATTGCCCAAAAATAAATAAATAAATAAAAGTACCACTAGAGACCTCTCTTTAGATTGACAGCAATTCATTAATCAACACACATTGAGTAAGGTTGTACAAAAAGCTAAAATTGACCTAGCTGTACTATGGTAAGGCCCACATTTCTTAATTCTATTAAAAAGAATCTCATGAGAGTCTCTGTCAAATGGTGTGCTGAAATCAAGCACATCTGTGGTATTCCTTATCTGCCAGTCCATTAAAAAAAAGAAATGAGATTAGTTTGGCATGACTTGGTTTTAGTAAAATATTTCCTTCTCTAAATTCTCATCCATTTAATACTAATTTTTACAGTTTTTTAAGGGCTCAATGTCAAACTTACTGGGTTTTAATTCCTGGAATTAAGCTGTAAACTATTTTGAAGCATTGGGCATTTGCCTGTGAGACAAATATACTCTGTACCCCCTTCCCTTAGGGCCAGGCCTACTGCATCTCTAGCTTCCTGAGTTCCAGTGTAACCTGAGAGGTTGGGGTATCTCTGTTCTTCCACTGCCATCCTCTGAACCTGCACGCCTACTGGCTGCATTCCTCCTTTTGTTAGGAAGGAGTAGCACACTTGTTCTACTTAACCACTTAATATGGTATAACTTTTACAAAGAAATATTTCTTTCAAAAGTATAACCAAAACAAAGGAAAAATATTCCTCCAATACCTCCACACCATACTCTCCCCTACATTCCCTTGTTCTCTGAGGGAGCATATCTCAGATTTAGCTTAGTTCCTATATTGGTCCCACCAAGTTCATATCTCAAAGCAGCAATACTACTAGATAAGTTCTTCCAGTGGGCTGAAGTTCCAAAAGTTACTCCTGAAAATCACTCTTTGCTTCTTGAAGCATCAGTGCTAGGCTGGCTGCAACACTGGCCTCGGTTATAATTACTGGATTCTTGTGGCTTTCTCTCCCAACCAAGTTGGTGACTCTATTTCTCATGCCTAGAATGGAAAAGAATAAACAAAAAGCCTAAGGGAGTTCTGTTTCTTAGGGTCCATATGGCTTCAGAAAGGGAAAGTCTCAGGGCCCTTCCCTTTATAGCACAGTATCTATCTCACAGCAGTTAATGTGAATTACTCCAAAGGCAAATGGAGCAGAGCCAGATGCCCAGACAAGACTCAAACCCTTTAGATGTTAATAAATAGTTCTAGCTACACAACTCCCATCAAAAATGGCTCCTCCCAAGCATGTAGTTAGTCAACTGAAACCAGTTACATAATGATCTCTCCAAGGTACTTTCCTTACATGTCATCACAATTCTCCAGAAGCAGTAGCCTAACATCCTCATCTTAGAGGATGCTCTTTAGTGTCCTCCACGTGGAGAGATGCCATCTGAGCAAGCTAATGGGGTATGTGCACATACTAGATGCCTAGCTCATCTCTATTCAATCTTCTAGCACTTTTTTTGTTTTTATATTTTATTTATTATATTAAACATTTATTAATTGATTTATTTTTAATTTTCAACATTCACTTCCACAGAAATTTTCTCCCTATCTTGCCCCTCCCTCCATCCTAAGATGATACGCATTCTGAATAATCCTTCCCCTAATCTGCCCTACTTTCTATTACCACCCTCCCTTCTCTTACCTCCTTCCCCTTTTATTTTCCTGTAGGGCAAGATAGATTTCTATACCCCATTGCCTGTGTATCTTATTTCCCAGTTGCATGTGAAAACTATTTTTAACATTTGCTTTTAAAACTTTGGGTTCAAAATTTTTTTTCCCTTCCTCCCTCCCCACCCACCGTCATTGAGAAGGCAAGCAACTCAATACAGA